CCAGTGCTGCCTGCTACCTACTACTCCCTGGGCTGGACCAAGGGATCTCTGGAAGAAGCCAGGCTGGCCTAGGTTACCTCCAGATGCATCCTCTCAACCCCTACTTGTGCCTCAACCATTGCCCTCCCCATTCTCTGCTTTCTTTCCCCAGGTTAGGGCTAGGGGCCAGGGAAATCCAGCTACCCTCACTTCTGCTCTTTCTGTCTCTAGGGGGACATGGCCAGTACAGAGTCCTTGCTGTTCACAACCTTAGGCGCTCACTCAGATCCTGACAACAGTGAGATGGAACTGGACTGCCAGTTTAACGAGGAGTTCAAGTTCATCCTGCTGCCTGTGACCTATGCAGTTGTCTTCCTGCTGGGCCTAGGCCTCAACGCCCTGACCATCTGGCTCTTCCTCTTTCGCCTCCGACCGTGGGATGCAACAGCCACCTACATGTTCCACTTAGCCCTGTCAGATACTTTGTATGTCCTATCACTGCCCACTCTTGTCTACTATTACGCGGCCCGCAACCACTGGCCCTTTGGCACTGGGCTCTGCAAGTTCATCCGCTTTCTCTTCTATTGGAACCTCTACTGCAGTGTTCTTTTCCTCACCTGCATTAGTGTGCACCGATACCTGGGCATCTGCCACCCACTGCGGGCGCTGCGCTGGGGCCGCCCACGCCTTGCTGGCCTTCTCTGCCTGGCAGTTTGGTTGGTCGTAGCTGGCTGTCTCGTGCCCAACCTGTTCTTCGTCACCACCAGCCCCAAGGGGGACACCATCTTGTGCCACGACACCACTCGGCCTGAGGAATTTGACCATTATGTGCACTTCAGTTCGGCAATCATGGGGCTTCTCTTTGGTGTGCCCTGCCTGGTCACTCTTGTCTGCTATGGACGCATGGCCCAGCGCCTGTATCGGCCCTTGCCAGGGGCCACCCAGTCATCTTCCCGTCTGCGCTCTCTGCATACCATCGCTGTGGTGCTGACTGTCTTTGCTATCTGCTTTGTGCCTTTCCACATCACCCGCACAATGTATTACTTGGCAAGGCTGTTGGAAGCTGACTGCAGGGTGCTGAACATCGTCAACTTGGTCTACAAAGTGACTCGGCCTCTGGCCAGCGCCAATAGCTGCCTGGATCCTGTGCTCTATTTGCTCACTGGGGAAAAGTACCGACGTCAGCTCCAGCGACTCTGCAGGGGTAGGAGGCCCCGGCCCCCCAGGACTGCCTCCTCTCTGGTGCTGGTGTCCCTGCCTAAAGACAGCAGCTGCAGGTGGACAGCTGCCTCCCAGGACAGTGGCTGCCCCACCCCTCGGGCAGGTAGTTTGTAACATTGGAAGCTGGGAAGTGAGAGAAAGGAGGTGAGTGCAGGGCGGAAGGGAGGGAACCTAATAGTGACACCGGATCTGACTGCTTTCTCCTCTTCTCTGGGCTCTGGAAAGAAGCCCTCATCTTAAGGTTTAGGAGGAGCCAAAGAAATCGCATGTGACCCTATCACTTCTAAACCCTTCAGTTGCCCTCTCCTCTTTAGCCCAAAACACTAGAAGCCACTCTTTTTCCTCAACTCCTTTCTCCTTGTTTCTGTCCCCTTCCTGAGGCCACTGGTCCTGTTTCTTAGTCCTACATGATTTCTGGCCTCTCCCCCTGTTTCCTTGTACAGCATGCATTCCTTCAGCCAGGCCAGAGCAGGTGGAGAAGCTGGGGTGATCTCAGGATTGGGCTGACTTATTTGACGGTGATAGCCAGAATCAAGAAGTGGGGGCCTCAGCATATCACAGGTGCCTGGGATGTGACATATATAGCACCCACACCCACTCCCTGGTTTCCCCTGGAAGACAGGATAGTCCTGCTTACCCAGGCGCTGAACTAGGGCGCAGTCCAGACAGCCTGCCTTCCAGGGTCCCCACATGCAGCTGGAGACATGGCTCTGTTGAGTGGTATGTAGCCATGACATAGAGAGGGAGCCCTCTCATTGGGTGGCAAGTCTTCTCATGGGGTGGGGACCTTGAGAAGCTTCAGGGGCAGAACCCAAGCTGATAATGGCCTTTGGAACAGGAATGGGATTGGCCCTTCTTTATGATGTTTGCTGAGAACATATTTGACAGCTCTCCTGTACTTAATGAAAGGCAGAGTGGATGGCTCAGAATAGGAGGGAGGAGCTCTCGTGTCTATGGCATAAATTCCAGCACCAAAGGGCGGAGAGGTTTGTACAGAGATCGGGGTGGTGACAGGGACTGAGGCCCACAGCTGGCTCTTCACTGGTCACTCCCCTTTCTCTGGCTCCTGTCCTAGATAAATGATAAATCTGTCACCAGCTCTTTCAGATCAGGCTTTAGGACTTTGAGGACAGGGCAAGGCACAGGGGCTAGGACAACTTCCCTCAGAGTTTGCCATCCAGTCACTCCTCTCTAGCACCATCTTTGTGCTTACAGGCTGCTAGGAGTGGAGGTGAGATGTGAAACCTGGGGAGCTAACCCTCAAGCCATGGGAAGAATTTCTGGGCAGGCTTCTGTGAGAAGGGTAGGCTTACACTTCTAGGCATCCGCTGTAAATCGCCTTCCAGCCCTTTGGTCTCCTGAATCTCCAGCCTTCCTTTCCTTTTGCCCTGTCCTTGCTGACCTGACTGTGATCCCTTACTTGTCTCCTGGCTTCTGTGGGGTCTCTGTGGAGAGTAAGGTTAGGGCTGGTCTGCAGGAAAAAAAGACTCCAATGTCCCTGAGTCTCCTTTTGCATCCTTTTAAGGGCTCCCTCTTCCTCTCTAGATATCAATGCCCACTTTCCTTTTCCTTTGTTTGTCCTTCTTCATCACTTTCAGTCTCTTCTATAACAGATTTCATTTTGTCTTTAAAAAATTCTATTCATCTTATTCATTTCACTGTCAAATTTCTGGAAAGAGTACCATGAATCCCATTTCCTCACCACAAAGTCATTCCCTAACTCTCTGGATCTGGTTTCCTTCCTATACTTTTCTGTACCTAGAACACAAATTGCCTCATAAGGAAAACCTTTAAGGATCTTTTCTCTGCCTTCATCCCCTTTGACTTTTCTGCTTTGCTTAACCCTGTTGCATACCTACTTTAAAGCTTTTTTTCTAAATAAAAGCCACATTAAAAAATTCCACTGATCCCTGAATCAGGAAGATCCCCTGGAGGAGGAAATGGCAACCCACTCCAGTATTCTTGCCAGGAAAATCCCATGGACAGAGGAGCCTGGCTGGCTACAGTCCATGAGGTTGCAAAAGAGTCAGACAAGATTCAGCAACTAAACAGCAACAGCATGACAATATTAAATAAAAATTTAAAAGAAAATACTCACCTCTGCTTCACAACCCTAGACAACTCTTTTCATTTTTCCACATTCCATACTTCTCTAGTTTATATAATACATATGTGTGTATATTTATATGTATATATATGGATAGGTTTAAATGCAATCAATGGACATATATTTTAAAATTATTTTAAAAAAATTTTTTATTGCATATACTCTCCTTGTGTTACAGTCTTTCATATTCATCATTTCAATGATGATATAAAATTCTATCCATCAGTAGATCCTATTTTATTTGACTATTCTATTATTGGTCATTTAGGGAACTCCCAATTTTTCTGTGCTTTGAATAATTTAATGCATATAGCTTTTTCCTTCTTTGTAATTCTCTTCCTAGGACAAGTTCCCAGGGGTGGGATTACCAGATCAAAGAGCATGAGTGGTTTCATAGAGCTTGATTTCCCAAAGGACAGCACAAATTTTCAACATCAAAATGACACGTGAGTGTTCCAGTTCCCTTGCAGCCCTGGCATTGGACTTTATAAGAAATCTTTTTGGATGGCTTAAACATTTAACTTATTAATTTCATTTCTTTGATTATTCATGAGATTGAACACTTTCCCACATGTTCACTGTTTGTATTTTCTCTTGGGTGAATTGTCTGTTCATATTCTTCTTTTTTTTTTGTTCATATCCTTCTTGAATTGGTATCTTAGTGGTATTCTTTTCTATATAAATGTATTCTTTATTTGACATACATGTTAACCCTTTGTCATATTTGATATAACCATTCCATTTATTGTAATGCCTTTAACTTTAGTTCCTTATTTTATCTCCTTGCTTTAAAATTTCTCTCTGGTAATTTGCAACCTTGTGAACATAGTAAAAACTACTGAATTGTATATTTAGAAATGGTGAATTCTATAGTAAATAAACTACATCTCAATAAAACTGTTAAAAAGAAAAAACATTCTCTCTTCCTACTTTTCTAACTCTTATTACTTCTTCTCTTTGCTTTCTGCTCTTTCTTTTTTATTCCCTAAGTGAACAGAGTTCCAAAATCTGTCATAGTCAGAGCATTTGGGGATTATTTAATCCCCTCCCCTCATCTGAGCTTTGATTTTCCTCTTGGAGAGAGTATATATGCATGTGAATACAATTCAGTTGACTCATAGTCCTTGAGAGTACCTTGGAAATCTTCTAGGGCTTGGGCACTGCTTCACTTTACAAAGGAGGAAACAGGTCCTGAGATATGACTTGCTCATGACTTAGTAAGTTAGGGGCAGAGCAGAGACTAGGCCCCAGGGCCCCAGAATCCCAGAGCTCCTTCCATTACACCAGGCCAACTCAGTTCCAGGTCTGACCTTTCTCCCAAGCTCTACCTTTATGTCTTCAGTTGCCCACTGGACAATTTCACTTGGATCTTCCATTGTTACTTCCAACCCAAATTATCAAAAACTAAACTCCCTAAACCAGTTTCCCTACTTGTCTCGTTCATTTGTGTTTATGGCACCTTCTTTTTTTTTAAATTTTTTTTTCATTTATTTTTATTAGTTGCATCTTCTTCTTTTCTCAAGTCACCTAGGTTTGAGAATACTCAGGTAACTTTGACTCTTTGCCCTTCCTGTTTCCTTTATAGTTCCAGTGCTACCATTCTATAAAAGAAGGCCAATTGTAATTGACATGATGAGGGAATAAATGTCTGAATCTCATGAAATAGGGAGGGCAAAGAGTCAGAGTTGCCTGAATGTTTTCAAGCTTAGGTGACTTTATGGTTCCAGTGCTACCATTCTGGGGCTTCCCAAGTGAGTGCAGTGATAAAGAATCTACCTGCCAATGCAGAAGACGCAAGAGGTGCTTGTTCAATCCCTGGGTCGAGAAGATCGCCTGGAGTAGGAAATGGCATCCCATTCCAGTATTCTTGTTTGGAAAGTTCCATGAACAGAGGAGCCTAGTGGGCTACAGTCCACGGGTTCACAAAGAGTCTGAGCTTGGTGACATGACTGAGCACACACACTGCCATTCTAATACTGGCTCTTGTCACTTTCTCCCTGACTGTCACTGCCTCCCAACTGGTCTTCCTTACCTCTAATCTCTCCTTGCATGATATATTCAGTGCATATTGCCAGATTAATTGGCCTCAAAACTGCTTTCACAGTTTCACTCTCTCACTCAAAATTCTTTCATGGTTCCCCATTGTCTACAAGGCAAGTTGAAATTCTTTTGTCAGAAATTCAAGAGTGCTAGTGCATATACCTCCTCATCATCAGCTTCACTTCTCCTCTCTTTGTTTTTACTCTTAAAAATTAAATCCCTCTTGCCAGGTGTGTGAGAAGGTGATCTGTGAACTTAGTTACCATCTTTCCATTCTTTGGCCACTGAATAAAGATTGTGCTTTGTCAAAATACAAAACAAAAACAGACACAGTAGAAGAAGAAATTCAAGAATGCCTTTTTCAGTCTTATTTTCCATTCTTCCCCAGTACAAATCTCTCTTCTCCAGCTATTTTGATCTCCTCATTCTTTTTTCCAAATATGACCTCCACTTTCTTACATCTCCACTTTTATTCTTCCTTTCCCACACTCGTGAATGCCCTCCCTTTGTTTTCCCAGTCTTTTTCCTACCCAGTGACCAAGGCCCCAGGTGGCACTAGTAGTAAAGTACCTGCCTTTCAGGGTCAGGAAGATCACTTGGAGAAGGAAATGGCAACCCACTCCAATATTCTTGCCTTGAGAATCCCATGGACAGAGGAGCCTGGCTGGCTATAGTTCATAGTGTTGCAAAGAGTCAGACATGACTGAAGTAACTTAGCATGTACACCCAAGACCAAGCTTAAGTCCCACTTCCTCTGAGGACTTCTCTGCTGACTCTTTTGCATGGTGACCTTCCTGGTCACTCCTACAGTAATTATTGCCTATTTCAGTCATTTGGCACTTATATTGTCTTTTGATATTGCTTATACTACTATCCTGAATTGTTATTTAACCCTTTATGTGTGTTTGTTTTGAGTTCCTACCTGTGATAGAAAGGAAAGAGCATAGAACTAAAGATCAAAGAACTAAGTTGGATCCCTGGTTATGAAAGCGGGGATCAGGTGTGTCACTCGGGTGAGTCACTCAGACTCTCTGAGCCCGTTTCATCATCTGTAAAATGAAGATTGTAATCTCAGCTTTGGGTATTCCAGATTATGGCAAGACTCTGTGAATCTAGGGAGCTAAGAAAATATAATTGTTTGTTATTTTATTATCCCATGTGCTTAATAAATATTTGTAGAATGATTACATGTAGTAATTTAGCTTAATGTTTCTTCTTCTGGGAATATTTCCATGTTAAGAGGCCACAGGCCAAGGAGTCTGAAGATCCAGGAACACTTCAGGAGTAGTGGAGGTTGGAGGGCATTGGAAAGATACTTTGAAGGAAAGCAGGCTTGTCAGCAGTGACTGCCACAGGGGCAGGGGCTCTGGGTACAGCAGACCTGTGCATGGCATAAGCCCTCTTGGAAGAGGTCACCATTAACCCCACCATAGAGCTGCCAGAACTTACACAGGACTGGGGAAACAGACTCTTGGAGGGCACAAACAGAACCTTGTGTGCACCAGGACCCACACAAGAGACTGACCCAGACTTGCTCGTGAGTGTCCAGGAGTCTCTGGCGGAAGCGTCGGTTGGCGGTGGCCTGCTACAGGGTTGGGGGCACTGAGTGTAGCAGTGCGTGCATGGGACGTTTTGAAGGAGGTTGCCATTATCTTCATTACCTCCACCATAGTTTGGCTCCAAGTAAATAACAGGGCCAAATAATATTTCTTTCTATAAAGAAAGCTGAGTGCCGAAGAACTGATGCTTTTGAACTGTGGTGTTTGAGAAGACTATTGAGAGTCCCTTGAACTGCAAGGAGATCCAACCAGTCCATCCTAAAGGAAATCAGTCCTGAATATTCATTGGAAGGACTTGTGTTCAAGCTGAAATTCCAATACTTTGGCTACCTGATGTGAAGAGCTGGCTCATTTGAAAAGACCCTGATGCTGGGAAGGATTGAAGGTGGGAGGAGAAGGGGATGACAGAGGATGAGATGGTTGGATGGCATCACTGACTCAATGGACATGAGTTTGAGTAAACTCTGGGAGTTGGTGATGGACAGGGAGGCCTGGCGTGCTGCAGTCCATGGGGTCGCAAAGAGTTGGACATGACTGAACAACTGAACTGAACTGAACTGAGGCTTCTCCAGGATGTCTCACATCCTACTACACTGGCTACTCACTGCTTGGCCTACCTGTAAGAGTACTGTGGATATGAAGAGAAGGAGAAGTTTGTGTATCTGAGCTTTTGCTTTCCCCACATTTTCTACTATAGCATCCCACAGTCCCTAACTGGTTATGCTAAATGCTTCACCTAGGGCCTCTTCTGTCTCATTCATGTGATGAAACTCACTGTCTTGGTGAATGAGGTGATGAGGAGTAGTAGAGGAAACAATTTTAGTCACATAACCAGATGGTATCTTTGAATTCTTGATTTACTGCTCATTAGATGCATGATCTTGGACATGTTACTTAATCTCTCTGAGCTTTTAGTTTCCTCACTGATAAACTGGAGATAGTAATATCTATTTGGCAAGGCTGTTATGAAGTGTCAATGGAGTAATGAATGAAAAAATTATCATTTCCAGTTCCTATGGGTGGAAACCCCTTCTCAAAAATTCTCAACTTTAGTGTAGCTGGACAAAGAACCAGAATTCTAGATATGGATTTGATAATACTTAGAAGTGATAGTTAAGTTCATGACAAGAATGAATCCCTGAGTGTGAGAAGCAGAAGGCTGAGAACTGATCACTGAGAGATGACTACTATAGTGATGGATTGGTATGAAACAGATTGGGACTGTGGCATTGTATCAAAGGAGAAGGGAGTTTCCACCCAAAAAGGATTTATAAAAGTTATCCTTTGAATGAAAGGAAAAAAGAAAGATTAAGAAAGTAAGCAATGGTGTCAAATGCCTAAGAGAATTCAGGGAGGATGAGATATTCAGAAAGGTAATAACAAACAAGTGATTCCCTATCAACCTGGATCTATGCGTACAAAATATATTAGCCAATGAAATTAACTAAAGAGACCAACCTCAAATAGCTTTTGTAATCATGATCTGTTTACATGCATGTATACTGCCCCCTCCCTTTGAGTTCCTAGGTGCCTCTACCTCTTTCCAAAGGTTTCAGAACAATTCATTCAATGGGTTACTTGCCATAACCTACAGAACTGATATTTCCAGTGTGAACTGAGATATGACTTGTCACCAAAAGGAAGTGCAAAAATACTTGAGTACAACCAAAGAGTGATGAATACCTTGGTATATCTTTTATTTCCAGAGCTTATGTATTTGGTCTCAAAGTGGGAAGAAGGTGAATTATTCCTTATTGAGTCAAAGTGTACATTATTGTTTTTGTTTCTCAGTTTTGTCCAACTCTGCAACCCCATGGACTGCAGCATGCCAGGCTTCCCTGTCCTTCACCATCTCCTGGAGCTTGCTCAAATTCATATTCATTGAGTCAGTGATGCCATCCAACCATCTCATCCTCTGTCATCCCCTTATCCTCCGGCCTTCTATCTTTCCCAGTATCATGGTCTTTTCAAATGAGTCAGCTCTTCACATCAGGTGGCCAAAGTATTGGAGTTTCAGCTTCAGCATCAGTCCATCCAATGAATATTTAGGACTGATTTCCTTGAGGGTGGACAGGTTGGATCTCCTTGCTGTCCAAGGGACTCTCCAGAGTCTTCTCCAACACCACAGTTCAAAAGCATCAATTCTTCGGTGCTCAACTTTCTTTATAGTCCAACTCTCACATCCAAACATGACTACTGGAAAAACCATAACTTTGACTATGCTACCTTTGTTGGCAAAGTAATGCCTCTGCTCTTTAATATGCTGTCTAGGTTGGTCATAGCTTTTCTTCCAAACAGCAAGCATCTTTTAATTTCATGGCTGCAGTCCCTAAATCCAGTGATTTTGGAGCCTAAGAAAATAAAGGCTGTCAGTTTCCATTGTTTCCCTATCTACTTGCCATGAAGTGATGGAACCAGATGTCATATCTCAGTTTTTTGAATGTTGAGTTTTAAGCCAACTTTTTCACTCTCCTCTTTCACTTCCATCAAGAGGCTCTTCAGTTCCTCTTCACTTTCTGCCATAAGGGTGGTGTCATTTGCATATCTGAGGTTATTGATATTTCTCCTGGCAGTCTTGATTCCAGCTTGTGCTTCATCCAGCCTGGCATTTCACATGGAAAAAGAAATGGCAACCCACTCCTGTATTCTTGCCTGGAGAATACCATGGACAGAGGAGCCTGGCAGGCCATGGTCCATGGGGTCGCAGAGAGTCAGACGCGACTGAAGCGACTAAGCACGCATGCACACACTCTGCATATAAGTTAAATAAGTAGGGTGACAATACAAAGCCTTGACGTACTCCTTTCTCGATTTGAAACCAGTCTGTTGTTCCTTGTCCGGTTCTAACTGTTGCTTCTTGACCTGCATACAGGTTTCTCAGGAGGCAGGTAAGGTGATCTGGTATTCCCATCTCTTGAAGAATTTTCCAGTTTGTTGTGATCCACACAGTCAAAGGCTTTGGCATAGTCAATAAAGCAGAAGTAGATTTTTTTCTGGAATTCTCTTGCTTTTTCAATGATCCGATGGATGTTGGCAATTTGATCTCTGGTTCCTCTGCCTTTTCTAAATTCAGCTTGAACATCTGCGAGTTCTTGGTTCACATACTGTTGATGCCTAGCTTGGAGAATTTTGAGGATTTCTTTGCTAGTATGTCAAATGAGTGCATTGTGCGGTAGTTTGAACATTCTTTGGCATTGCCTTTCTTTGGGATTGGAATGAAAACTGACCTTTTCCAGTCCTGTAGCCACTGCTGCCTTTTCCAAATTTGCTGGCATATTGAGTGCAGCACTCTCACAGCATCATCTTTTAGGATTTGAAATAGCTCATCTAGAATTCCATCACCTCCACTAGCTTTGTTTATAGGGATGCTTCTTAAGGCCCACTTGCCTGAGCTCTCTGAGATGTCTGACTCTAGTTGAGTGATCATACCATCATGGTT